AACAACCCCACTGCAACACCCTAGCAATTACACAGCAACATGCTAAACACTGCAACACCTTGGCAAACACCCAAAATACCCTAGCAACCACTTAGTAACATGCTAAAAACCTTAACAACCCCAATTCAACACCCTAAAAAAATGTTTTCATTTCAAACAGTAAAAATGCTTTGTTCACAAGGCTCATAAGACAACTAATAAGGAATAAGCAGTGGAGAGAAAAAAGTTGCTGCCAGAAACTGCTGCGAGTTGACTCCTGCGGAGCCGGTGACTAAGATACACAGCAGCGATGCGGCACCGCCTGAGAAAACAGTCCCTGGCCTGGATCACCCACCACCCCCCTCCCCATATGTGCTGCCACACGCCTGTGATTACTCCTAGTGTGAGATTGGCTGGAATTAGCTGTGGTGTAATTACTCCTGATGTGCTGCAGAGGGATCAGCCGGAAAATGCGGTTATTCCCACCAGTGTGGCACGGGAATTAGGTGAAGTGTGGCAGCATGGAGGTGTTGCACTACATATGTGTGCGTGAGGTGGTGGATGCGAGGGGGAACTGGCCCATCTGTGTGATTAGATGGAGAACAACACGCCATTAGAGGTCAGGGGCTCCAAGGCTCTTTGCCATAGCAGGTGAGCCAGTGGATTATTTCAATACTGACATGCCCGCTCGTCCGACTAGTTCCCAAAACCACTCGGAACGGCAGGAGAGAAAGTGGGAAAATGACACTGATGGAGGAATAAGCTAGCAAAAAAAAAACAACATACTGTAGGCGAGAAACGAGAAAGACACAGTAGATAGTGATACACTAAAATGTAGTCAACCGGCCGAAAAAGTGAAAAATATAATTTAAGGTTTTGGACAAAGTGGGTTTGGAAGGGCAAAATCATTGACCGAAACAGTGATGTTTAATTAGTTCTCCTCCAATGATGTGTTTTGACTGTTTCAGCGTCTGTTTTGTGCACATAATGTGGATAAGTTACCACAGGTACGCATTTTAACATGACCAATTATACTAAAGTGTGTGTGTAAAATTTGTTAAGCTAAAATATAAAGATATTGCTGAAGAACAGAGCTATTTAAACTATCACTGAGACACTAGAGTATTACTATAATAGTTTTTATTCATAATTTGAATCAGTTTTTATTTTTATATTTTCAGTTTTCAATTTAATTTGAAAGTTTTATTAATTTTGTTGTGTTTTTGTCATTTTTAGTAGTTACATAGTATAGTTTGCATTAATTTTTATTTCAGCTAAACTAAATTAGAATGAGAAATGTTGCTTTGCCAACTAGCCGAAATAAAAGTATTTTATTTTGTATTATATTCAATAAATAATTAAATATAATTTGAAGTAAAATCCTTTTATTTCAAGTAATTAATTTTTTATGGTTCTAGTTTTAATGTCAGTTTTAGTTTTAGTTAACTATAATAACACTTTGAAGAACAACTGGTTTAATATATCAGTTGAGAACACAACACCCTGAAGAACACATTGATTTCAATTACCCAAATTAATTACCAAAACTTAATTTTCTGTTTCGGTTTTCAGCTAAATTAAAACTTTAATGTCAGTTTTGTTGCTTCAGTAACAAAAATCATTTCAATGCTTCACTAAAAGAAAGAGTAATCATTCTCAGAAAGACACAGCCAACATATGCAAAAACAGCTGTGGTTAGCATCATTCAGTTTTGTTGCTTCAGTAACAAAAATCATTTCAATGCTTCACTAACAGAAAGAGTAATCATTCTCAGAAAGACACAGCCAACATATGCAAAAACAGCTGTGGTTAGCATCATTTCTTCATCAAGACAGGAGTGTGTGAGCATTAATGCTGTAAAATGTCCAGCTTTGATGTGCGCACGCTTTTTAGATTGCGGGTGGTATGGATGTGAGAGAAAGGGAGATAAGGAGATGTAAATGTCAAGTGCTCTGCCGAGTGAGGGCTTTGATCCTGACTGGGGTCTGCGGACCTGAGATTACCCTCCTCTTCAGAGCACACACCCGCTCTGCCGTGACCAGCAGACCTAAACCATGGTGGTTATACAATAGTGAAAAAGTAATCCGCAGTGTTGGGGCAGCTACAATGGAACTGTAGCTCCAAGCTAATCGTAATTTGAAGCTGTTAAACCACAGTCAAGCTACTGTTTAGAAAAAGTAGTCAGGTACAGTACACGCTACAAACAAAAACTATCCCATGACACAATGTATGATTTAATCAAGCTGCATTTTTGCTGGCACAAAAACAATGAGGAGTTATGAATGAATAACTCTCAGAGGGTGACAGTGCCAAACTTGAAATGCTAAATTTGTACTAAATAAAACAGAAACTGCATAACCAAGTCAAAAATAATTCAACATACTGTTCATGGACTTGAATGAATTCACCTTTTTTTTCTATTGTTTCATTTACATCATCTATCCAATACTTTACAATGCTACATTTGAGAAAAAGAATCATTTAGGATGAAAAGACTCATTAGATTAGATCAGACTTTCCCAGGCTACCATGCAAAACTTTGGGGTCCTTATGATTGACTGATTGATTTCTATTCATCACATTTTGAAGACTGAAAACTGGAGTAATGGCTGCTATAAAATCAGCTTTGCCAACACAGTAATAAATGACATTTAAAAATCAAGAATCAATTATCTTAAACTGTAATTATATTTTACAGTATTTCTGTATTTTTGATCCAATCAATGCAGCCTTGGCACACATAAAACACTTTTTTTTTTTTCAAAAACATTAACCTCAAACTTTTAAACAATAGTGTAGTTTTGAGACCTTTGTGTCCAAGTTTACTTGTAAAAGTTGACAAAATTCACATCAGCAGATTTACACTGAACATTTACAGAAAAAATGTGTAAAAATATTTTTGACTTTCAAGAACATTCAAAATTCTTACAGACACAAAACTTTTGAACAGTTTGAGAGAGAAAAACTTAGGCGAGTGTGTTTGATTATTCCTTCCGACATTACGGACAGTCATGTACTGTTTGTTGAGGCCACACGACTACTGGATAGAAATAAATGGCTACCACAAGAGCTACTCTGGAAAACTTATGTAAGCATTGCTACTTTTACTTCCCAAAACTGTCTGGTACTGTCTGTGTTAGCATTCCCTTCCATCTCAAAGGCAGCTCCTCAGCCAGCAGACAGTACAAAGCCGAGAAGTATGTGATTTGGAATCTGCCATCTTTCCTCACAGAACTTTTTAAGCCAAAAACACACACACACACACACACACACACACACACACACACACACACACACTTGTTCGACTTAAAGTTTGTAATGCCCCTAGCAAGAACAGCCTGTACGCAACGGCTCCAAAAAAGCAGCAATACTATAAAGAATGATCTCTTATTAGGAAAAGAAGATTTTTTATTGAAAAGACAAACCCAAGGCATCAGGCTGTCAGAGATTTTTCAAAAACCTTGCTAAGAACACTTTATCGGAGCATACCAGTGGGGCGGAACAAAATGAGGACGGAAGAAGAGCAACTTTTTTTTATTAAATCTGTTCCTAGCCAGACAGGTGGATATCAAACTAAGCAGAGCCGCTTTAGTTCTACTCTACAGGGGGATAGAAACCAGGTAAACCCTCCTTTATCTGTCAAATGGCAGAGGACACAAAGAGAAAGAGAACAAGAGCTCTGGAATTCTCGAATCAAAGTAACAACTCGCTCAACTGAGCACACAATTCAAAGGAATCGTATTGTCTATCTTGTTATCTGGAGTTACCACTGGGTGGTCCTTTCTTTGGCAAAACTCTACATATTGAAAGGTCTATCCTTTTCCGATTAAAGACCCTAAGAAATCGTTTCATGTTTTGATGCATTGCCTATTAAAACAGGAAGGGGGTGGGATTTATTGAAGGGCTAGCCAATAAGCTTTAGACCTGCACCAGAGCTGACAAACTGCCATTAAGATAAATAGGAACAGATTGCTTTTTTTCAGGTATTACAGACGCTAAAAGTGAAGTGTCAACTTTTAAGTAAACTAGGATACAATGGTCTCAACACTACTGTGCAAAAGTTTGGGGTTAGCATTTTTTTATTTATTTATATTTATTTATTTATTTTAAATACAGTTAAAAACAGTAATATTGTGAAATAATATTATGATTCAAAATAACAGTTTTTTATTTTAATACATCTTAAAATGTAATTAATTCCTGTGTTGGCAAAACTGAATTTCCAGCAGTCATTACTGCAAGCTTCAATGTCACATGATCCTTTAGAAATCATTCTAATATGCTGATTTGGTGCTCAAGTAACATTTCTGATAAGTCAAGTAACTTTTCAATGAATTGAAAGCTAAAAAGAACATTTATTTGAAATATAAATATTTTGTAACATTATAAATTACTTAAATGTAACTTTTGATCAATGTAATCCAGCTTTGCTGAATAAAAGTTTTTTTTTTAAATAAAAATCTTATTGAACTCAAACTTTTGAACTTTTTGAACTTTTGAGTAACACATTTACTCATTTAACATTTTTTTTGTTTGTTTTTATAATAAGGTTTTTAAAGATACCTTTTTTTCCCTCTACAACGCTTTATCAGTCAACCTGATAAAGTCACCATCAGACTGCTAATGCAAAAACAGAAAGGAGCCACCATGTTCACAAGCACAAACTCGCAACACACATTAGCCGAGTGTCTGACAGGCCAGCTGAAATCTGCATCATTGATCACGCACACGTTTTGTATAACATCCTGTACAGCATTCAGCTTTCCTTCACTGAGCCGCTCACTGGCTGCCAAAGAGACACGAGTCATTACAGCCATTAATCGCCTTGATGCATGGGGTGAAGCAAAAACATATTTTCTTTTCGAATAGGGACATTCGGTTATTCGTGCGACAGTCTAATATGACTTAAATAAACCTGCAGTTTAATGTTGAGCTCTTTAACTGAACTTCTACGTACTTACTGACAGTATGCAAGGGGGGAAGCAGAACGCAGTAGATAACAGAGTTAATATCTCACTCACATGGTAGTATGCGATGGCCTCTCGGTCCAGGGCTCGGCTAACTGCCACATCTCCCGTCAGTCGGTTGATGCTGAACACACCCTTAGGGTCTTGATCTGCTCCCCTTCCTGTCAGACGGAAGATGTGGTCTTCCTTCATGTCAGATGAGATCACCTATATCACAGGATAGTACCCACAATCATATTAATGTTAACATTATTGAAATGGTACAGTTACAAAACACTAAAACTAAGCCTAAAACAAAACAAATGCAAATAGTTTTTATGTACTTTAATCATTTTATTAATTACCTAAATATTAATACCTATTTATCATTCCTTAACTTTGTATCAACCAATAAATCCTCAAATAATTGCTCTAAATGTCAGTGTTGTTCTAAAACTAAAAATATTACAATTATTTTAGTTAACTGATTTTTTTTTTACTAAAATATAAAATAAACTTAAAAAGCTTAGAAATGCTGCCTTGGCAACTAACTGATATTAAATAGGTTGAAGTACTAGCATTACTAAAACTAAAACTGAAATAAAAATAAAGCTAATAAGAAATGCCAAATTTCCTTTTGTAAACATGAATTATTTAAATTTAACATCATCAACAACAACAATTAATATTATTATCATTATTTGTTGTTGTTTATTATTATTTTTACTATAATTATTAATAGTACAATTTGATAATTTAGTTATCACTGTGCTAAAACTGAAAATCAAAACAATAATCAAAACCAATAAGTTGTTGTATGGCGTACATATGTGATATTGGACACCTAAACATTAAAATATTCTATATTGGTCAATATATTGACCCACAAAGCAGTATACAATCAGTTGTTGTGTAGATTTTTAATTCATTCAAGTTTATCAGCAGAACTCACATGCGACTGGATAAATGCAGCAAAGTCCATTGTGTTTCATCATTGTGTTGCAAGTTAGAAGCAAAGAAAACAAGAAAAGTTAATTACACACACTCACAGGCAAACACAGTTGTGAATAAAACATGCACACATGCTAAATATAAACTTGTTTGCTTGATCTCATATTTTAAATCTAAATTCAGAATTATTTACCAAATTATTCTTGCTGGCAATGATGAACACACAGTGAGAAGTCTTAAATCATGATATAACACCACTCTCCAGATGATTATTAATTAATATACTAGCAGCTGAAGCTTGTAAATGACATCCATTTGTATATTAAAACATCTTTCATTGGCTAGTGTGACCAGTGCTACCACCTGCAGTTCATTTGGCTTTTGTGTAAAGCATATTTTTGTGCAAATTAGATTGCCGCAACTTCCCTCGCTAATGAAAGCTCAGTTATTAACTAATGACTTTAAATACAAATGAACAATAGCCTCTTATGAACCCCCCTTTTTTTCATAAACCACCCTTTCTAAAAGTTGTTTTCATCAAGAGCAATAAACCCCATTGCATGTATCGAATCACAGAGGCTGCCCACCTTGAACCTTCCCATATCTTGTAATTAAGCTTAAGATGAAATATCCCATTTAGAAAATGAATCCAGGCAAAGTAATTGTCCACACGAAAAGCCCCTGTTAGCTTTATTTATCTTCCCCACACAGATCCTTTCTGCCAGATCATACACTAATACTGTTTTTCTCCTTTATAATTACAGGCTCTGTTAACCCAGGGAACATTATTATTTCTAAGAAATGCACCGAGTGGTTTAGCTAAGACTCTGCCGAGCACAAATGCAGGTTTCACCGGAGGAGGCCTTCAAATCCTGGTGTATTACTGTGGCCGGCAAACAGATGTGAAATTGCAGAATTTTATAGCACAATGAGAGCTGTCTTGTTTAGTGGACGGGTTGTTAATGTAAGCGACTGTAACATGGACTAAAGCGGATCGTGAAAACAACAAATCAAGAAGTCATGCTGACAGAAGCACAAGCACACACGTATACACTCACATTGTCTCTATTGTTTCAAGTAAAGCTAGATAGTATTGCTTGAAACAAACCTAGATCATACAATTATTGGCTTCCTTTTTTACTTTTGATAGATGGATGGATGGATGGATGGAAGATAGATAGATAGATAGATAGATAGATAGATAGATAGATAGATAGATAGATAGATAGATAGATAGATAGATAGATAGATAGATAGATAGATAGATAGACAGACAGATAGATAGATAGATAGAGCCAATCATTTCTCTTTCTGAAGTATGCTAGGCTAAGGTGCTTGCAGCTAACCAGTGTTGGGCAGTAACGCATTACTTAGCGGTAACCCATTACTTACTAATCTAAATTCAGAATTATTTACCAAATAATTCTTGTTGGCAATGATGAACACACAGTGAGAAGTCTTATGATATAACACCACTCTCCAGATGATTATTAATTAATATACTAGCAGCTGAAGCTTGTAAATGACATCCATTTGTATATTAAAACATCTTTCATTGGCTAGTGTGACCAGTGCTACCACCTGCAGTTCATTTGGCTTTTGTGTAAAGCGTATTTTTGTGCAAATTAGATTGCCGCAACTTCCCTCGCTAATGAAAGCTCAGTTATTAACTAATGACTTTAAATACAAATTAACAATAGCCTCTTATAAACCCCCCCCCTTTTTTTCATAAAACGCCTTTTCTAAAAGTTGTTTTCATCAAGAGCAATAAACCCCATTGCATGTATCGCGCATTACTTAGTAATGCGTTACTGTAATTTGATTACTTTTTTAGTAACGGAGTAATTTAATGCGTTATAATTTTCAAAATAGTAATTAGAGTATAGTTACAAGCCGAAGTCTATATACGTTACTGCCGCGTTACATTGCTGACAGAATGCAGTGTTTTATAATCTAGGGATTGTAAAAAGGTTGTTCCACACGCATTGTCGAGTCAAGTGCCTGCTCTCCCACGAGACCCGACGCAACAGAGCGCAGTGCGGGACAAGATGGGCGAGTGCTGGTGCGGGCGGGTAGACACTCGTGTGTGTGCGGGATGCGGGAGAATAAAATGATTCACGGGACTCCCGCATAATAGAAATATCTAAACATAAAATATCTAAAACAAATAAATTGTTATACATCTATTGCACAAAAGCAACATGAACTAATATAAAATATAAACGATTAACAGGAGCAAGCGTATGCAGAGTTTCTATTTAGGCTATAACACGTGTTTGCAGCGTTGAGCAATGCAGTGCTGAAATTTGCGTGCTCATGAATCCTCTCATTATAACACACGAATTGTAGACATGAAAGATTCATTATGCATAGATTTATTGAGTTATAACAGAGATTTGTGAGATTGCGATGAACTGAGATGTCTTTTAGAGATTATAAATGCAGCGCTCTTTGCTGGCATTCTGCCATGCCAAACCATGCACGCAGCAGCCACTTGCTTTAGTTAAAAATAACAGTGCTCTGTGAATGTTGATGCTTTAATAACAAATATT